ATCCTTTGTGGACGCTCCAGCATCTTGCAATCACGCTGTAGCCATGGATTCCATGTCTGGATGGTGTACTCTGTGAGTGGTCGAATGTATGCTGATAGTAGGCGGGGGAATAAAGCTGACTCATCATTATCCCTACTCTCCGTTTCATGAAAATCGCCTGACGCGAGAAATACAAGAAAAAAATGTTCATCACAAACACCTTTTTCTACACTATGAGCGTAGGATTGTGCAAACCACTATAATATCCTAGCCAGTTTTTTAGATGAACTTTCCAGTTTGGGTGAAATATAATGACGATTTAGACCCGTTCGTTTTTGTTGACATTTTGACACGGCTCGACCTAATTAGAGGACCTCCATTCAAAGTAATCTATATTTTCCCGTTTCTCCGATCCACGGGAATATTGCATGGAATTAAAACGAAAGAATGCATGATCAAACACGGTGCACGGCACACTAAATCTCGGAATAAAACTAGTTGCCATGGGGGAATGAAATTTCTCGAATTCATGCAATTTATTAACAAATTTATAACAAACTGATTATAATGGTTTATTTATTCAGTGACCGAAAATTCCAGGTGAATCTGAATTACCTATATTGGAGAATGTGAGGCAGCCTAGTTGTCCAGTCTCTCTCTCTCTGTCACTCTCGCAGAGACCATCATTCGTTTGGGATGGTGAGCTTATACAATGCTGAAGCCGATTTTATCTGCTCGATGCAGCACACAGAGCGAAGTCAATTTTGAGCGGGATGAATTGCTTGTGTCATCATTCTGTGCTAGTGCTTCGGTTGTCCACAACGCGTGTGTGTGTGTGTGTGACCTTTCTGACGGGGGGAAGACTTATTTTTAATAATTGCGGACAAAAATGCCATGCCGTGTTTGGAAATCAATTGCTTTTAGTTTACCACGTCCAGTCATGGTCTATCCAGTGGGCTACATTATCTGATCAGCAATTTCTATATTTGTTAGCAACGTCGAATCAGAAAATAATAATAATAACAGTAATATACTCACTAACTTTTGATTAAGTATACAATGGTGAAATGAATTTCACGAGCGAGGGTGCACTGCAGCCTTTCAGGCGTTGTGTAAGGATAGATAAATTGTGTGTGTGTGTGATGGGGCTCGAAATGAGAATCTTCGGGTCAGTGTGTTGATGATCCTAATCATTTTAATACGATCACCGAGATTGACAATGAGTGGCTGTTCTGTGCTCATTGATGACTTATACGAAATTTGATTTTACATTGTGCACTTGAAAAATTCAACAAAGTTGTATTGAACCAGGAGAAAAATGGTCCAGTATTCATCAGGTGGATGAACAAAAGCCCGATAACCACCCTTGACACACAGCGCAACGACTATATTGGTCCCAAACACTGAGTATAACTATCTACTTCAGATCCCAGTCAATTGTGAAGAGCAAGGTACAGCGACACACATTTGATTTGTGCTCGTTATACCGTCGTTCAAATAGGACTGTTGTTGGCCAATGCAGCTACATCATTAATTCTCCAAACATGTTTTCATTTATTCCTCTATCCGTACACAACAGTTTGGTATTTGAGGACTCTTCTTCACTGACTGCTATCCGTTTTTCATCGAAATGAATGAATGCGGATCGCCTCGATCGTGGGAAGGACTATATGATTTTCGGATTGTCTTCAAATTAGTCAATCCAAATCCTCTACATCGTAACCCAGTAACTTATTCAAGTATTCTTTTCACGGGAGCAAATTCTAACAACCGTCTGCGCTGCTGAGCTTTACCTGTCAAGTGGTTGGAGGTAAATATCAGAATCAAAGGCTCTTTCCATTGCCTTACTGTGGAGCAAGCAATGCGTATGATCGCATAACCGGAATAATAGTCGTGTGGATATAGCGTTCAGGCTACGAGACCAATAGCTCACTAACGAGAGGCCGAGAGAGAGAGATCAGCAATCCATCTCGGGGGGCTTAGGGGAAATGAAGCTGGCTTTAGTTCGACCGTTTAAATGAAATCTCATCCTCTATCTGGGTGATAATATTATTAAGTATTTCTTTGATGCCAAAAAATTTACATTTTCATTTAGGCTTGAAATATGCGCTCACTAATCTATTGGGGGTTGTAGACCGACCCCCCCCCCTCCCTGCGCAACAGCTTATATCCATATTCATGTCCGAATATCTCATCCAGTCTTGGTAGTTCTGACAAAGCCATTCGGATGTCCCTTGTTTATAGTATTACTCTTAACTGCTTCCATGGGTTCCATCTACTCTCTTCGCCACTTCATCTCTCAGACTGATCTCCTTCTTTTGAATTCTGGGCAGCTGCGGTAACGCTGTTTGTCTCTCTTTGTTTAACATTTAGCACCTATCAATTACTTCAAGTTTATTCACGATGATCTCAAGATTGGTTCTCAGTTCGAGAACGCTTCTCACTTTTGCTTCGTTTCAGCATTCAGTATCGTTTATTTATTCTATCGGTCATCTTTCGTCTCATTATCTGTTACCGTTCCCAAATCTAGTGAATACAGATTCGTATTGGAAATGTTTAGAATTGCCGACAAAGAGTACTGGACAGCTGTTTTGTCCTGTTTGAGACTAGTCATCAATGCGTACTTTTGTGTCCCTGCCAGGACTCGAACCGCGACCAATCGGGTCGGGACTACAAACCCTTATCTTAGAGCTACATTCACCATCTAAAAAGACCTATTCGCACTTCTTGCTCAAGGATGAACGCTTAACAGAAAAGAGAATACTTCTGCCCTGAGTTGTGTATATCTGATCGAATCAGACCCCAGATTTCGCAGTGCGAATTACTTAGGCATTTATGAATTTGTGTTGATTAAAGGGATAAAACGTTTGATTTCACCAATGTAGTTACACCGTCAAGACATGTCTAGCTCTTGATGCAGTTGTTCCACGCGCTGTG